TCATCATTTTATAAGAAAATAATCTTTGAAAAATTGAGGTGCAGATTATCTGTAACTGATATCTATTGCATACTGTCTATTATATCTCTGATGATAAGTGACAGAAATCTCTCTTGCCCACATCTCAGTCGTGGCTTCTGCATACTGAAAATTGAGTTTAGCCAGAACATTTGTCTTTGATTTCATTTTCACTTTCATTAGTGCTGAAAAGCACCTTAGTTTGTTTCCATATGTTTTTAATTCTTCCTTTAAATTTGGTCAGTTTTCACCCTGGACATTAGAAGAAAGTGTGCAATACCTTTACAAGATGATTTAAAAGCTCTGGGGACCTGCTCTTTCATCCCACAAGCAATAATTCTGAGGAGCAACTGGAATTTAGGAAGCAAAGGAGTTGTAAGCTGGTCCTTGAGTACCTGAACTAAAACCTAGAAACAAAGTTGGAAGGTGCAATTTTAGACCAACCACTCCAATGTCTGGCTGAATGCAGGAATCCAAATTATAACTTCCATGACAGATGGTAGATGGTAGAAAATATCCAATAGAAGTGAATCTATTGCCTGTCTGAGTAATTGATTATACTGTTTTACTACTTTTATTAATAGCATTGGTTTTTCAATCAGAATGTGCCTTTTTGTAACTTAACATCCATTACTCTGTATCTCATACTGATGTGATATGATTTTGGAGAAATTAAAAATGCAATTGTGTCCTGACCCAGTTGCTTGAAAAGAGAAATCTACTCTTCTAAAGAATAAACATTACCAGTTTATTCAACCTCACTTCATAGGACTTAGTCCTTCTCTGAACCTGTTCCTGTTTATTTGAATCTTTCTTAAAATGCTCTGCCAGATATGGACCAATACTCAAAGAGAGGTCTGCCCAACACAGAATAACAGAATAACAGAGTTGGAAGGGACTTTGGAGGTCATCTAGTCCAACCCCCTGCTCAGGCAGGAAACCCTATACCATTTCAGACAAATGGTTGTCCAGTCTCTTCTTAAAAACTTCCAGTGTTGGAGCATTCACAACTTCTGGAGGCAACTTGTTCCACTGATTGTTTTAACTGCCTGGAAATTTCTCCTTGGTTCTAGGTTGCTTCTCTCCTTGATTACTTTTCATCCATTGCTTCTTGGAATAAAGTGGACCTATGTTCTGTGATTTGTAAGACTATATTTTTGTTGCTGTGGTCAAAACATGCATTTACATTTTAGCAATTACATACTACAAAATTATATTCAGTTACTGTTCCAATATCTTTCACAGAAATACTGTTATAAAATTAAATATCTTCCGTCCCATACCTGTGCATTTGACTTTTGCTTTTTATGTGAAGAATTCTGCATTTGGTCTCTGTTAAATTTCATACTATTATTCTCGTCCAATTTCTCTAACATAGCAAGATGAGCTTGAATTTTATTTCTGCCTTTTAGGGGGCTGGCTTTTTCACCCAGTTTTATATCATTTTAAAATCTGAAAAACATTCCCTCCTTCTCTTCATAAAAGTCATTAATAACATTTTAAAGGATACATGGCTGAAGACTGAAGCATGTGGCACTTTAATAGCTTTAAAAAATTCTTTTGTTTTGTCTATCTTTTCAGTGCCAGCTGTCTTACCATCCATCCATGCTTTACCTATTTTGTAACATAGCAGAAGGAAATGTAAAAACAATGCTAAAAAAATCCTGGTACTCCTCTTCCCTCCCATATTTTTTTTCACCCATTCCTCTGAACAAAAATTAGCAGCTCAATTTTCTATTTTGAATAAAAGAGATATCTGTATTACAACAAAGGTAAGCAATAAAATAATTTTAGCATAATAACAAGAAGAGGAAGGGGGGGGGAAACACCAAACATTTTCCAAAGCAGTGAAATTCCTGGTACTTCCCGCATACATTTTGCAGGCCATACCAATTTTATCACCACCATCCTCACTATTATCATCATCACCATCATATTGTGGCTTTACACTCTTTCTAAGGATTGGGTATGAAAATTGACAGGGTTTAGTGTCATGTGTCTGACTAATGAAACACTTCAAAGAACTTTCAGGCATGGGTTAACCTAAAAAAGCCTTTATTAGTGTAGAGGCGTGTCAGCACGGCATGATGGATGCCAAGATCTGAATTTCCCTTCCCTTTGCACATAACATTCCAGGCATTTCCCCTCCCCTATTTTGGGGTCATGATTCACATCTTCCAATTAACCTGGAGGGCAAAGATTCACTTCCGTTCATTTTCCCCGGGCTTTCCTTACTAATCTCCCCCCTTTTCTCTGTCATCTGAATTAACTCTAAAAATACCAGACAGTTCTGCATATTTTGTCAAAGCAAGAATATTCAATATTAGCAGCGTTGACATTTAGTTTGATTCTGGAGTGGTCTTTAATGTGCCTGGAGGCTCCCCAGAAAGTGTACTTTGTTTCAACATTAAGAGAAGCAAGCAAACCAAAGTTTAAAAAGGAGTTTTTTTTAACAGTTTTACCTAACCTGTAATTAATTTCTGCTATCTTTGGGAATAGCAAAGAAAATCTCCCAGTGATTGTCTAATCTGTTTTGGTTTCCTTTGAGCAAATATTTATATAAAAATAAAAATCTGCAAACATTCTATTGAAATGCCAAATTAATCAGTCTGCAAAAAAGATTCTCACTTACAGCAGAAATGGAGCAATCCAATAATTCCCAATATTTTTCAGTTGGAGGCTCATTTAAGACCTTACTATAGGTATTTATTTATTTATTTATTTATTTATTAAATTTATATACCGCCCTATCTCCCTTGCGGGACTCAGGGCAGTGAACAGGCGATACTAAAAACCACGATAATAAATAAATAGTTTGTTTTAAAATCGAATTAAATAACAGGCCTATTCTAAAAACACACCCGTAAAAAACCCCCCACTGAAACATAATCAAACTACGCCAGGCCGGCCGCACGGAATAGATGGGCCTTCAGGGCTCGGCGAAAAAGGCGCAGGTCCGCAACTGTACGTAGGTCGGGGGGTAGGTCATTCCAGAGGGCAATTCCAGAGGTATTGTTCTTCACAAAATGGCATCAATGGTAGCAGAAGAAAAGGGTTATATAGGTTAAAGACATTGGCTATATTAAAGATGCATTTTCTATGAGGTACATGTTTGAACTGTTCTGAAACATTCCTTCTAGCATCTCTTAGATTTTCCCCAATTTATCTTAGTCTTTTTTTTTCCTGAATAGGCAAACATTCTTCCCAAAATACCCATTGGGTTTAAGCCAGATCTCTCTTTTATTTTCTAGAACCTTTTTTGGGGGGGGGGGGGATCTAGGTGCTTTGCAGAGACAAAGGTTTGTACTAGATGATGGTACCTGGATTGCAACATGCCAGCTAGCTGGAGGTTATAAAAGAAAACAGAATGACTGATGCTACCACAATCTCTACAATTACAATGGAGGACGTTCTTGCAAAAGCTGCTTTCTTTGGAAATATCGTCTATCCTGTATGAATTAGCATAGAAAGCATTGGCCCGCCACAATTTTCTGTGGATATTTTTTTAAGAAATGAAGAAAAGAAGTAAATGGTACTCCTGATGGGATTTAGTCACCTTGAACTGGATTATTTAATTACCTGTATATTCCCATCCTGCCTTATTTACACACTAACTATTCATTGTTTTCAGAATTCATTCTTTAACAGTAATCCCATGAGACAGTATTCTATTGTCCTAAATATCACAGTGATGCCTTCTTTAAAGAAATACTGCCAACATATTTTATCTTAGGTAAATTTAAAGAGAGAGAATCATCAGGAGCAGAATAAGTTAATCTGAATTCATGATGCATATATCATCTTCACTGTTATGGAAAAAAGGGAAACAGTTTCAATAAGTAAGGATTGGAATTTTTTAGAGGTCGGTAGTTCCACTAAAGTGTGTGTTTACATATACATACTTGAGCGTTGGACCAATTCTGAATTTTAAAAGTACATTGTCTTGTCAAAGTGCATATCTTGTGAGTGACTGCTATAAGATTTCATTTTTTATAAATGATTTCAATACAGGTAGTCCTTTGATTTACAAGCATTCATTTTCAGCCCTGAAAAAAGTGGCTTATTTCATACTTGTGACCATTGCAACATGGGGGGGGGGCTCGTGATCAAAATTCGGACATTTGGCAATTGGCATGTATTTATGATGGTTGCAGTGTCTCATGATCACGTGATCCCCTTTTGCAACCTTCTGATCAGCAAAGTCAGTGGGGAAGCCACATTGACTTAACTGCTTTACTAACAGTTATGGTGATTCACTTAACAACTATGACAAGAGAGATCGTAAAATGGGGCAAAACTCACTTGATTGTCTTGTTTAGCAGTGGAAATTTTGGGCTCAATTGTGGTTGTAAGTCAAGGACTACCTTAGCTGAGGTATCAGTTTGGCTGCTTTAAATGTTCAATTTTAAAAATGTGAAAGTTCAATTCTTAATTGACTAAATATTTTGGAAACCATTTTAAATATTTAACTAAAAATTTTTTTTCTTGCTGTATCTCCTTCCTCCCTCCCTCCCTCCCTCCCTCCCTCCCTCCCTCCCTCCCTCCCCTCCCATCANCCTCCCATCACTTTTTTTAAGATAAGAATTTGTATACCTTGGAGAAGGAGGGGATTGGGAGGAAATGTTGTGAACATAATTCCAATTTAGGAAAGTACAGGTAGAATGTTACATACCTATCTGCAGTCATTGGTCAATAGCTCTTCATTTTCTGAGGCTGCATATCTACATTTCTTTTAATATGGAATTTTGAATATATTTTGTGTACTCTTTTTCATAGTTGGAAAACTTGTCATGTGAATTAATCTAACCTTAGTTTGGCAGTAAATCTGCTGGATGCATATGGTTAACAGCTTCTGTCAGTTGATTAGAACGACTAGGCAGTCCTGCTTCGGAAGAGATGCACTTAGGATCTTGACAGGCTGTGTGAAGATTGACCATGAATTCCAACCTTTCCACCACTAAAACGAATGTTTCCCTTTTCAGACACGCTTTGGGCATATTCACACCAATATGCATAATAATGATTCTGCCTTGGATGAAGATGCTGATGATGAACTAGACCCAGGAAGCAAGTAAGTTAATTTAGAGGTGATTTGAGCTGTGGTTTATTGACAGAATTATACATCTAAGACTGTTTGGTAAAACCAGTTGAGAATTTTAGGGAGAATTCTAAAGAACCAGCAAAGCAAATATTACACAATTGATGGGAAACCTTGGATTACCATTGAGTGCCACTCAAAGGCAGCGTAGAAGTCAGATGTATTCTGAGCAGTACCTTAAATTATGGAGAAAATAGAAGAAATAATGGAAAGGGAAAAAACACACTTAGTAGTGATACTGCTCGTTGTAAAAAGGCAGAAAATAAATAAAATACAGGTAGTCCTTTATTTACGACCACAATTGGGACCATAATTTCTGTTGTTAGGCAAGATGGTTGTTAAGTGAGTTGTGCCCAATTTTATGATTTTTTTGCCAGGATTGTTGAGCAAATTACTGCAGTTGTTAAGTAAACCATGTGGTTGTTAAGCAAACCCAGCTTCCTCCATTGACTTTGCTTGTCAGAAGCTAGCTAAGAAGGTAGCAAGTGGCGATCACATGACTTTGGGATACTGCAATCATCATAAATGCATTCTGGTTGCTAAACATCCAAATTTTGATCATGTGACCATGGAATTGCTGTGGTGATTGTGTGATGACTGTTTAGAAGTCACTTTTTTCAGTACCATTATAACTTTGATCGGTCACTAATTAACCTGTATTGAAAGTGTTGATTAATTTGTAGCTGGCATAGAGAGTATAGAAAGTAACTGATGGACTGACTTCCGGTCTTGCACAGTAGCGCAGCAGCCAAGGGATTTCGGGGCTCCGTGCCCTTCGGCTGAATTTCTTCCTGTTAGGGAACCCTAAATGGGCCAGAGGTTGCCCCAAAGAGGTGGCAAAGAAGGAAGGAAGTCCCGTGGACCACGGAGAGATAGTGGTCGACCCGATCGGTACAGGAGAAGCCTTCCAGAAACCAACAGGAGAAAGGCTAGCCTAACTTCAGAGTCTAACCCAAGCTACAAGCAACCGAAGTCAAAAAGTACTACTTTAAGCTGATTGTAAACAGCACATTTGAATCTGGGTAAGAACATCGATTTTCTCTATCCTACTTATCAACTTTCTTAAAGAAAAAAAAAATCCCAAGAAGCAAAAAACCCTCTTACTAACGGAAGCGGCGAATTAAACCATTTATGGAGGACCAAAACATATAGAAATGAAATGAAATGAATAAAAAACCTAAATTTGGATAAGTTTGAAATTGCTGAATGGTTAAGATTCTTATTTTAAAGGCAAAGGTTTATTTTGAAAATTGCTGACATCTAGTGGTGGATGAAGACTATGACAGGCTTTCATACAGGACTTGGCAAAATCTGGAAAAAACTAATCTGTGCTTGTGACCTTCAAAGCTCTAACAATAGAGAACAGCTGTGACAAAAAAGAAAACAATCTGGGCTGCAGATAAAGAGAGACTTATAAACTTCAGGGGGGGAGGGAAACTTTTTTGAACTTTTTGGATTACAAATATCTACTTAACTATGACTCCAAAGCTATTTGCAGAGAAAAGAAAACTTTGATTCTTGGCCATCATGGAAAATCAGAGATTTGTAGAAAGAACTTATCAAGAAAAAATAAATATCTTTCAAGAGGAGACATATGATATGCTGCAAATAATTCAAACAACAATGATTTCAAGCCACAAAGAAATCCAAAATAACTTTGAAAATATAAACCAATTCATCTCCAATTTAACTTTACAACAAAAAAAATCCCAGAAAACAACAATAGAGAAGGAGCATATAAAACAGGTAACTGAACACAAATTCGAGAATAGAGGCTTAAAGATGGAACCTAACAAAATGATTTAACCCAAGTGGAAAAAAATTCACAAGAAATACTGGATTTGTAAAAGACAACTTATACTTTAACACCACAAAACAAATTTGAGGATAAGAAAAAAGATTGGACAAAATGGACTGCAGAGATGTCAGGAACACCACTAGAACTGGAGAGACAAAAAATGATAAGAGAAACAGAGAAAAAGAAAGAAAAAGATATTCAACAAACATGAAAGGGCAAATGCCTCTTACAAAGATATTGTACTTGACTTACCTTTTATATCTACAGTAAAACTTACAAGAATATGGAAAGATTCTTTGATTCAACATATTGATTAAGAAAGACACTGGGCAAAAGAAAAAGGCTAAAGTGAAAATTAAGAAAATAGACAATGGGACCTATCAGAGAGAATATTTAAAAAAGAAACACCTGTTTGAATATGGTTAAAGAAATAGAAATATTTTGGATATGAATTTTATTTTAAGAGGGAGGAGCCCCTCAAGTAACACAGTACTCTCTTTTTCTTTCTTATTTAATTTCTTGATATGAGTAATATAAAAGAGTTGGAATGGCTTATATAAAGGAAATGTTTTAGATATTTAAATGTGATTGACTTTAAGAAAATTACAATGGATTAAAAATGTTTTGAATACGAGTTAAAAGACCAGATGACTAGATTTATTAAATGGAATATTTAAAGATTAAATATATTTTCAATTATGGTAAAAAAAGAATGGAAAAAGTTTGGAAATAAATATGTATTAGCTTAGGGGAAACATGGATTTTAAGTAGCATACTATCTTTTTATTTTTCTTTACTCTTATTTTTCTTTTTTCTTTTTTTAGTCTTATTTATTCCTTAAGAAAGGTAAAAATATTGGGATGGCCTAGATGAGAAAAAATAGACTTAAATATTTAAATGTAATTAACTTTGAGAAAATCTTAACCAGGAAGAATGTCTTGAACATTGTGGGGAAAACAAATGTAAACAAGAACTGTAAACAGGATCTATGATGAGGCAACCAGAATGACTAGATAGAAAAGAAATATTATATTGATGTGATTATTATCTGTAGAAATATTAGAAAAAATTCTATACTCAATTGTTATCTACCAAACAATAAGAATTGTATTAACGGAAGGTTGGCAAAAGAGAACATTATGGGAAAAAGAGGAAATCAAGTAAAGCTATTATGTGGATTATAGATCATAGAAACCAACTGTAAGTGAATATTTTTTAAATATAAATCCAGACAACACAGTTTACCAAATATTAAGGTGACTATGTTAAAAAATCAATAAAATATATATACATAAAAGAAAGTAACTGATGGACTGAAAGATAAAGTGGAACAATATGATGTATACAGGAAAAAGTAATGTACAGGCATTCCATCAACCAGCAATTCAAAACCTGTATCCAAGGGCACATTTTTTTTTGGGGGGGGAAACCCTGCTATATCCCCAAATGCAACAATATACCGAAAGAAGGCTTTCCACTGCATCTGTATACGATTTCCTGATTAGTGCTATTAGGTCCTGCATGTCTGCACTAAGTACAGTTAGATGCAATCTTATATACCAGCCTTAAATCAGTTTGGCTCTCTCCAGGTGTGTGGATTTTAAATCCAGCTTGTCAGTAGTGCTTGTACTGCTTTGGGAAGTGAAGTCCACACATCTGGAAGGGCACCCAGGTTGAAACATATGGCTGTATATATTTTTATACAGGAATGATTGACTCAGTGGAGTCAGAATATTGTTCTCAAGGCAATATTCTGTAGCAGTTCCCAACCCTGTCTGTGGTGCCTCTGCAGGCTACTACTTGGCTTTTTTCAAATTATAAATTATAAAGTAACAGCAGCAGTTCAAAAAGAAACAAAGGCCACATATCTTTCAAGTCTGGGTAACTTATTAAAATTAAAACTGTATTCGATAAGAATGTATAAGGCCTCCAGTTCTTAAATTCGGAACAAAGTACGTTTCAGCTATCAAAAGCTTAGGAAATAATAATGAAAGATAGATCATACTGAAATCAATCCTATCATATGGATTTGAAAATTCCATCAAACAGTACTTGCAAATGCAAGGTTTGGAAAGAGCTAATTCTTAATCTGTGTTTTCCAAAGTGAGATTTTCACACACAAAAAAGCCTATATACACTAAGGCATTGTCACAATGCATTACAGGTATGCAGTTAAGAAAAAAAAATCTCCCTGCAGCATTTCCTTGTTTTCCATCCCAACCTGAGGACACACACAAATGGGCATAATTTATCTCCCCCCACTCCTTCTAGGTTACTGGAAAAGAGAATTTCACAATTTGCTATTTCTCACTGCTGCTGGCCAGTAAGCTGCCAAAGCTAAATAATTATGGTTTTTCACAATAAATGCAAGGGCTATGAGGCTTATTTTGCCAAGGTCTTTGTAATAATTGTCAGCTGAAGCTTCATGAACGTTTACATTCATTGTCATTGTCATAAAATACCATGGTGGTGAAGAGACTTTATATTTTTCTTTAGATTGTCATCGGAAGACAGTGAAGAAACATCTTTCTATTTGTATGACAGTGACGA